CTATAGTATGCATATATTGATTGTTTTTTTGTTTAAAAGTGAACTCTATTCTAACTTGTTAAAATTGTTTCTGTAGATATACTTAATAATGACTTTGATCTGTAAGCAGTTGATGAGAAGCCAACGAAATAAATGATGGCACCATCTTATTCTGCACGAACAGTTGTTCTTGCTTTCTTCAATCTTGTATGTTTTGTATCAAAGCAAAGTGGAATCAGTCAAGAAGAAAACAATGGATATTACAACCCAGCAACTATTCTCATCCTAAGTCAATCAAATTTCACATTTTTTCTTGTAGCACATTTAATCCCACTACTGTAATCAACGATTTATTGAAACAAAACTTCAGCATAGATACAAATAAATATGATGTTAATTATTGCCACCATTTTTATGATTTTCCTTGTTTAACTGAAACCTTCCATTTGTAGTGTATGATTCACACAAGATTCTGAATATAAGGCTAATAATCATTACCACTCGCTGGGATGAGTTATGATAGGATTCACACACTCATCAGCAGTATTTGCTGGCAAGTAACGACATGCTATAAAAAGTAAACGGTAATTATGTCCTAATTATTACATAGAATATGCGATTTGTGTGGATTCCGATTAATTTACTTCCAGTTGGTTCGTGTTGAAATCTAGTAATTGAAGTAATCTAATTATCGGAAATCCACACTCAAATAAACAGAACCCTCTACTTTTGTACAAGGAATCATAACGTTCTTTCATATTAGATAAGTTTATTTTAATAATCATACATTGATGTAGTATTAACAACTGGATAACAAGGTTTCGAGCATAAATTATTGCTCATAATCAAATCAATTTAGTCACACGGCTTCATGATTTGCTTTATATATCTATTTTCCTCTCTTTCTCCCTCTCCAACTTCCCCTTGTTGTTTGTTGCCACTTTCCATATCTCCTGTATAGGTGTTACGTCATTCCGACTGCACGTGTGCGGTGTTGAATCGATAAACAAAGCTTCAGTGATTAACCTTTCTCTCCAACTAACTATATTACTTTTTAATATGCAAGTATTGGTTTTGTAGGGATTTGGTTTGATTGCATGGAGGGTTTCATCATGAGCTGACATCAGTTAGAGAACCACTGGAAAACCTGGAAGTACTGGACAGCTGTTTCGTCCTAGTTTGGGACTCTTCAGCAGTACGCGCCCAACGGGATTCGAACCCAGGACCTTCTGGTTGCGAGGCGAGCTCGTAGACCATTGAGCCACTGGGACCCGATCCAATGGTCCTTGAATTCTAACTTCTGCCAATTCACGACATAGCGCGACCATTTCGCAATGTCTTCTTCGTGAGTAACTGTCCTCATCTTCGACCTGCTGTACCCTACTGGTCACGGCTTCCCACTAGAACCCCAGGTTAACTGCCTGAATAGGGCCAGTCACTAGTGAGCATCAGATTAATTTGCAAGTATTGGTTTTGTAGGGATTTGGTTTTTAATACTCTCACCCTGTCCCACCCAAACTGTTGTGTGATTACATGCAAGTGAATGCAGTCCAATGGCTGGGCTTTTTTCTAGGTCACTTAACTTAGTACATTCAATCTTCCCAGGTCTAGCTAAATTTTTATGTTCTAGTAATCTAGTTGACCCCGATCTACTAGTTTGACCAATGTTACTGACCTCACAGTCATTATATGGCATTTGGTAAGTTATATTATTTTTCTTAATTGGATCTATCGGGTCCTTAACCCGACAAAGTTTATCTCTGAGTAAGTTGGTTGGTTGGTTTAAATACCACCCTAGTTCCAGCCTCACTGAGAATCCTACGTAAGGCCTCTGATGTTCCTTCTTTATACGGCAGTACTATAAAGGCTTTGAATTCTATATTATTTTCGTTATTTTCGTCATTAATTTTGTTAATCTTAGCTTTTCTATGATTCTTCATATATTTTTGAATGAATTCTGCTGGGTAGTTATTCACTAGTAATATTTCCTTTATTTGTTTGACTTCAATTTTTAAATCTTGTGGCTTACTAGTTAGGCATCACTGTGTAATATTTAAAATAAACTCATCTAATATGGAATTAAATTCTGTCACAGTGCCCAACCCGCTCAACAAATCGTTAAGTACAGGCTTTTAAATAGCTGACACTTTGTTACAAGATGTTTTTTTGCACGACTCATAATATGCAATTGCTTCTCAAATATTTTCCTTTACCGATAAAAAAAGGAATCTTCCAACATGATTAAGACACTTTGTAACACCACGTTTAAGCCCCTTAGTTGCAGCTATTTCGAGAAATGTGTGTCATATCTTCATGCAAGTGTTTAAAATCCTCCTACTGTTTAACTCTATTCCATTAACTAGTCTTCTCACTCAATTCTTCGCCTCTAATACCTAGGTTTTCTTAGTTTTATTCACCTTAATTTTCTTTGGTTTATTCAGTTGAACTGAATGTGGTGATGTAGAAACTTATGCGATAACTTCGTTATACAGTATCATATACTTTTAATGTATATATCTCCTTCTATCCATCTAGATAAGAGTCCATATGCTTAACTAACTAACTGACCTTGCAAAGACAACCTAATTTAAATGTATCTATATAAGGCATATCAGGTCAAACTGTCATAAAAATTTCTCATTATACGTGAAATATTTTGCCTATCCTTGAATTTCGCCTATCCGTTAGTGAAAAAATTTTATTTTCATTAAATGTGATAGTCACGTTCACAGATTGGAGAAAAACTCATTTTATATTTCATACATTCTGCCTTGATAAAAGAGATTATAATGTTAACATGAAATAATATTTTACAACGAAGCTGTTGATGACAGGTCCGACATGAAGTATATCAGAAACTAAGCTTTCTGAATGTTGTAAGCATGCCATGCTCATGAGTGTCGGTAGATACGAAACATGAACTCGCACCTTTTTGTCGACTGAAGAAAGGCACTGAACTTCAAACGCATAGTCAGACAAGCTAAATAAACTGCTGTCCTTTGGAAACATAACAAAACTTTTATGACGAACTGTTACTAAGGGGTGGAGTCGTCTAACTTGAATAGAAGGTGCCTCCAGAATGTGACACTATTACCAGCTAGTGACCTGAAAATATCTCCGACACTGAGACAGATGCAAAAGTCAGACTGGTAAAAACGAAGACCGGAAAGATGGACAACTACAAATCCAACGACATTTACTAGGCAAAATATATGGAATATTATATTTTAAGAAACCCACAAACTTAAGCCGGAAATAAACGAATCAGAAATGTCCAATGAGGTTATCATATCAGTACATGCATAAATCACGACTTCATGGCTAACAGAGAAGACTGTCCGCCCTAACACCTCCCTTTTTTATTAGGTCTGGATTAGGGTACCACTGGAAGATACTTTGGGTACTCTCCACCCATGATGAAATACTAATTAGTGAACTAAAGTAAGCTTCTAAGGGAATGAAATCCAAATTCGATATTGATTATAATTATTCATTTATTGCGATCTGAGTGGGATATACGCCTTCTACAGCACACCTTCACTGCACTCGTTTCTCTGCCTCCACAGTTGTCCAAAGGCTCTGGTTTCCAAATCACATGGTCACCTACATGTCAGCCTAAGACCTATATCCACCTCGTCCCTCCCGTTCGGGTTTCACACAGGGGCTTGCTTGAAGTGTGATATCATTTGACGTTTTCCTTAGCTCATGTGCAATGTATCTCAATATCCTTCTGCATATTTGTTGGGCAATAGGTTCTCAGCTGGTTCGCTACCATAGTCTCTTGTTTCGTATCTTTTCTGGTCTTCCGATTTTAAGTATCTAGAGAAGCTTATGTGTTAATCATCATTTTTGTCAGCCTAATCAAGACGTTCACAACTGTGGTATTTACTGACATGGTTCGATTTTGGTACTAGATGGTCGGAGGCAATCGGCAGGAAGCCTTGGACCTGGGTTTCGTGCTAGTTGGCACTCATCAGCAAGGCGTATCTGCAACCTTGAAGGAACTCATGTCCCTTCTGAGATTCAAACCCGCGTCACCCAGTGCTGCAGTCAGAGACGTTACCACTGAGCAATTCAGGCTCGCGACTGACCTCCTGTAGGACTGTACTGGATATTTTTGATTGAACACTAGTCAGTAACTAGACACATTACACTAGTTACTGACTAGTGTTCAATCGAAAATATGTTTCGGTTTCTATTTGAGCTATATTTCCGCCAACACTGCGGACACAATTATTCGAAAATATCGCCAGACATGAAATTTGAAACGTGATCTTTCTAAAGGCTGCTTCAAATATGAAAGTCACTTTAAGTTTTGTAGGATTAAGCTAAGAATAATTTCTAGAATTAGTTGGTTGTAGACATTCAATAATTGTTTTAGATTCTGATGTCAGTGTCACATCCAGTGGTGTGCTTTTTAAAATTATTATTAGTTATTATTTCACGAAAAGGTTAACAGATAGTCTATCTTAAAGGGTAGTGTCTAATACCCTCAAATAGTGCATCGGTGAATCACTGGTAGAATGCTGGCCAATTAAGCCCGTGGTCCGGAGTTGGATTCCCGGCAGACGCACTCGCAAAACTCGCTTACCCGTTAGTAAGGTAGGTACACACAGAGAGTTGGGTGTGGGGCTAGCGACCCACTCCGTGAAAAATGAATACCACCACTACTGAGATTTCAAAGCTTAAAGTTTTAGGCCCTAAGTTCCACTGGGAATACAAATGAATGGAGAAAATATTCTTTAATAATTGCAGTGTTTAAATTACTAGTTGACGGGGAACATTGAATATTAAACTTCAAAATAAATACCTGAGTGGAATTAGAAGTCTTACTTAATTTGTAGTCTTTCGTTTTGCAACTATTTTTCTCTTTCTTTAAGATCTATCAATGCTTCCCAAATTAAGCTATGGTTATCATTTTTGGGAAGCTTATACATTTTTATTGACGGATGTATCATCTTTTTTTCACATTCACTATATAAATTTAAACTTCTTTTATTCGTTACCATCTCTTTTTTTAGAAAAAAGAATTCATGGAATATGGGAAGACTTTGTTAAGTTATTCCTCTCCTTGTGAGTCAGTTCCAGTCCCAAGAACACAACAGTTGAGGTCGTTTAACACCGAAGAGGAAACCCCACATTTGGAATCTCTACCTTGTGTTACAGATAATACATTTTTTAAAATGACATGCAGGAACACCGAATCAGTCGACGACAATGATAGCTCTCCTCAAGCGACAGTAGGTGTGTCAAGCCAAGGCAGACGAGAAGCATTTAATGAGCATGCCAAATTTCAAACAGTTGAAGATCGATCCATATACACATTGCTGCCTAATGACGAAATAATGCAGGCTAATGAAGAAAGGGAAGAAAAATTTCAAAAAACAGAAGACTTATGCCATCTAGACAAATTTGAGTTATGTGAACACGTGACACCTGAGCATATCTCTCCACTATTGGACAATTACTCTGCCTATACAATAAACCAAGGGAATAATAATAGTATGAGTGAGAAGGATATTTTGAAAGAAACTCTCTATCCGGACAAAAATCAAATGCATACATGTGTAGACTCTAACCAACCGTCATTGATTAAATTTTCAGAGGAAGACAGAAATATGAAAATAACCAATCAGGAAGAGGTAAGGCAATCTAGTACACAGTTAGATGAAATATCCCATCCCACTACTGTAGGTCATGATTCTGATCAATGCTTAAAATATCTTATTGATCAATCCAATTATAAAAACTCACGGTCGTCGTTTTATGCATTCGATTGTTTAAATTTACCTAAAGATGCATTTCAAGAAGAGTCGAATTCAATTTTCAATGGACAGTACATAACTGACAATCAGTTGAGTCAAACACCCAAAATTTTGAATGATGAGTTAAACTCAGGAACAAGTACTCATTTAAAGCCAGATGATTTATCTGAAAAATCTTTGGAAAATTTATCTTATATCCCGGAAAATAAATCTCGTGAAACCAGTACAACTAACAGTGAAATTTCTAATATAAAACCAGACACCTTTCAGTTAAGTGCAAAGCAAAAATTCACTACACCTCTGACAAAACCATCTTATTGTTCTAGTGAGAAAACACTAAAACGAGCTCAATTTATTCTTTCCAGCTCACCTGTTAATGAACCAGATCCGACAGATACGCTTCTCGCTTTAACAGACAATAATACCACTACCAGTAGTAATAATTTTAGTCTTATATGTGAAAAAGACTTATCAAAATCATCAATCAAAAATTACTTCCTTTCATTATCTTGTCCACAGTCATTGAGTAGTCAATTTACAGAGGAAAATAACACTAATTTTGATGCCTTATCGGAATGTAGCAGTTTCTCTTTACATGTACCTATCGCATATTCAAAGCAAAACGAAACTGGATCAAATGAATCACAGTTGTCATCATTATCAAATTTTGAAGAGTATTTTGCTAACAGACACTTATGGGAACCCTTCCATTCTCATTGGTATATACATATTTTAAAGCGTATAAAACAGGAGACATTATTGACTTCTATTCCTGAGCAAATAAGTGATATTGAAAATATTCACATGGAGTATATGTCTTCATCGTCCAGTTCCCGTGGTTCCTACTTTTTGCCTCAAAGGAGAAGGCCGCATTCATCAACCTATAGTTATGAAGTAAACAATTTAGGAGATGACTTACCTGCAGCATATGAAAGCCCGAATTCCTCTTCATCAGCTGCCTATTCAGGACCATCTTATAGTCACAAGTCACTTCATGATGTTTATCCAGATAGATTTATTAGGCCATCTGATTATCCTGAATCCAGTCGGACATATAATAGGATGTCTTCCAAAAGCAGTCTTAAACATCATTATGATAGCCGTCCTTACCGATCGTATTCCGAAGCAGGAGCATTACTTCAGCAGAAAGATAAGTCCAGTTTAGTATCTGCAATACGTCATGATCGTCGAGGTAAACTAGGACTTGTCCAACCTTCAGGTCGTTTTAAACATGTGAGATCAGGTGAAGTTGAAATGGCTTTACAACAAAGAATTCTGAAAGAGACCAGTCGAGGAATTAAACCACTGTCTAGCAGAAACTCAGAAAGACCACAGGATTCTATGTACACATCTCGTTTCAGCAAAGCCTATCAAGACAGTGAAACAAGTTTTCGACTAAGAAGACAACCCTTAAGGAGTTCCACGCCAACTTACAGGGCTGCGCCAATTCCACAAACAAGATGGTCCAATGATTCTGCTTACTTGGAGGCTGGATCCTACTATTCCCTTCCACTTCATGACTATCACAGGCGAGGAACAAGGCATTCTCGACCTTCTTCCATAACTAAACGTCATGCTCCATTAAATACAGATGTTTCAGTGCATCGAAGAATGTTTTCAGATGACTGGGGTAAAGCTGACAGTGTATCACAAAATATTGGGAAATTTTCAAAATCCACTGGTCAGTTAAGTCAATTAGATGATTTAGGAAAAATTTCAGGATGTACTTCTATGCAAACTTTAAGAGCTCGGCTGGCTGCTGCACATTCAGAATTTAACCTTGATGATGAAGAAAACTTGTCAGATTCATTTCAGTCACATAAACTTAAAAGTGACAGGTTCGGTTCACTTGATCGTCATGCTGATTCACGTGACTTCACTACAAGACAGCTTAGAAGGCAAGTAGAACAACACCATCGTCGTCTGTTGAAAAGTTTGATGTCTGATGAACCACTTGAACCCAGTTGGCCATCAAGTTTTTCAACTCTTAACATTCATAATTACTTGAATGTGAAAAATGCATATACTGACAGTTCTGAAATGCGACCAACAACTCTTATTTCTTCTACATTAGCACCACCAATATTCTCTACTGCAGCAACCAGGCTTCCACTAAATATTGAACAAGGAAGAATTGAAGGTGTTTTATCTGAACCTTTACATTATATATCCACAAACGAGCAACCTCCCTCTATGCCAAATATCTTAACTACATCGAATCTGAACTCTGTTAGCCCTAACCAATTGCCTTTAATTAACAATATAAGTGAAAATGCAGATAGTACCTCAATGCATGGAAACTCTACATCAGCATCTGTCAGTCAACCACTGACAGTGACAAACAATTCATTGATGGAACTAATTAATAATCCTGAACTTTTACAAGCTCTTTCTTATAATCCGTCGCTTGTTAATCAGATTAATTCAATGTGCCTAGATCTTGCACCTTCGGATTTAAATCAAGTGACACTAGCAGCTGTAGCTGGTGCAATTGCTGCTACTGCTGTGGCTGGGTCTGGCATGCTAGACAACAGTCAAACGGTTAACGAACAGGATTTAAACAGTCTCCTACAAAATTTGGCTGCTGTAGATCAAATGAATGCTTTCACATCTTCAGGAAATCCTGTTTCAAATGGTAACAGTTATGTAAATAATCCTTCAAATTTAAATTCAACTTATCTAAATAACTTAAGTTTACCAAGTAGCACCACTAGTGGGAATGCCAATATTCTTGGAAGTAAAACACCAGTTCCCTGCGAAGATGTAACAAATCCTGATTCAATCGATGCATTAATAAAACAGGTACGAAAGTTACTAGATGAACAAAACAATATTAACGCTATGGAAACATCTTTGGGACCATCAGTGACTACTACATCCACGATTAATATGTCTTACGGTGATCGTGTACCACCTTCATACGCTTATAATTCAGGTCAACCAGCAATGGTCCAGGATAGGACGCAGAATTTCAGTAATATTTATCCCAATAATTTTCAAAAGTCTCCGGGAAAAATACCAACTGATCAAGTGTATAAACAACAATATCCCTACAAAACTCCTAGTGAAACAATAGATAGTTGGCTTGGATTAAGTGAAGATGAATGGAATTCTAAAAGTCGCAAAGGTAAGTAACCCATATGCTTAGCTTGATTTTAATGGCCTAATATTAATAAAGTTTAACGGTCATATTGAATATTTATTAGCTTTCTAATACATCATTTGCCTATTAAAGGGAACTATATATATATATATATATATATACTGATGTCTTCCCCGGAAAGCTGACAACTTAACTAGTCTTCCATAAGTGCCTTATTTTAAACATAGACTTTTGAGAATAATGCGTTTCGAAACCATTGATTGAAAAATAAATTGAAACAGGTTATACTCAGCAGACCATGTGTCCCAGGCAGTGTATTTTTGATTCGTCTTGACTAAGTGTATGGTTATAAAACTAACCTCGTGTGAAAAATATGCGACCACTGATTATACGTTTGTGATACGTGTCCTTAAAACATTTAACAAAAATCATGCCTTAGGAAACTACTCGAGTACTACGGCGTACCCCAAATATTCGTCAACCTTATTCAACAGCTGTACGACAACGGCACATGTCAAGTGATCCACAACGGGAAACTCAGCGAAGCGTTTGGAGTAAACACAGGAGTCAGACAAGGGTGCTTATTATCACCAATGATATTCCTAATTGTGGTGGACTGGATTATGCATCAGACAGTGGGAAACGAGAAGACAGGGATATCCTGGACCGACGTGAAGAACCTAGAAGACCTGGATTTCGCGGATGATTTATGTTTGATGTCACACAAAATTGAAGACTTACAAGCGAAAACCGACAAACTGGTCGAAGAAGCAGCAAAGACAGGACTCCAGGTGAACATAGACAAGACGGAGGTTATGAAAATAACGAACCAACCAACAACAACAACAACAACAACAGCAGCAACATCCAGCGCCAATCACCATCAACGGGAAGGATTTGAAAGAGGTTACTTCTTTCACTTATCTTGGGAGCATTGTCCCAACCACAGGAGGAACGGACGAGGATGTCAAATCGAGAATCGGGAAGGTGAGAAACACATTCATCAACCTGAAACCAATCTGGAAATCTTCGTCACTCAGCATCAACAACAAAATTCGGATTTTCAATACAAACGTCAAGTCAGTCAGTTCTTCTATACGGATCAGAAACTTGGTGAGTCATAAAGAATATTTCCAAAAGCCTGTTGCAGACCTTTATCAACAACTGCCTTCGCTCTATACTGAAGATCAGATGGCCGGAAAGAATCACCAACAAGAAACTATGGGAACAAACAAAACAAGAACCAATCACTCAGCAAATATGCAGGAGAAAGTGGAGATGGATTGGACACTCGCTGAGGAGGCCGTTGGATGACATCGCGCGTCAGGCCCTCGAGTGGAACCCGAAAGGGAAGCGGCGAGTGGGACGTCCAAGGGTGACATGGAGGAGATCGTGTGAAGAAGAGTTGAAAGAGTATGGACTAACATGGATGCAGGTGAAAAGTACAACAGAAAACAGAAGCAAGTGGAACCACTAGGAACCCAAGGGAACAATAATAAAAATAATAATAAATACCTTAGGAAGGATTAAAATACGATAGGTATACTTTAACTTGATAATGGTTTTCCTCAACTAAGTGTGTGTTGGTACTCGAAATTTCTAAGTGACAAGTATAACTGATTTAAATTAAAAGTTGGAAGTGAGTCACCAAAACCAGCACTTATGGTCATTTAGGTCAAGATGACCTAAACACCAATAATACCACATCATGCACTTACGCTTTGTAGGTCGATGAAAGTATGAACTTATGCAAGGTGGTCAAATACGATTATTAAATAAAATAATACTGTCTGATTCTAAATCATGATGGTAGATCTACTCATTATAAGGATTGAATCTTAAGAGAATGACCGGTTATAAAAACGTGCCACTTCCTAATACTGTAAGTAATATTATAAGATGTATTTGTTTAGGTTGAGTCAGATGTTTTTTTCATTAATCCTTGTTTGGGTCATTAAATATTATATTATTCCGTTCTATTCACCCTGTATGTCAAATAGAACACACAACTGCATTGGCGCATCTCCTTTACTGTCGGTTCCCTGACATCACTTTTAGCCAGTTCCTCTCATGATCTCTTCTATGTAAGCTTTGTACTGACGTCCAACTCGTCAATTCTTATTTCGGTTCTAGTCTAGGTTGCAGCGAGTGTTGTTATTTAAAAGTCACCTAAGAGTATATCCGATCAACTTCCATTTCCTTATACATATCTAGTGAGCAAAGGGTTCACGGCTGGCTTGTTGCTTCCACAGTTCGTTGTTCCTTAAGCCTACTGACCGACCGTCTAATATTCAGTGTCGTGCAAAGGTCGGTGTTGATGGAAGTCTGCAGTCTGACGGATTTGATTTTTGGTGAAAAGACAATTCTCTGCACCTTATGGAAGTACTGACTTAACATCAATGTTGGAAATTCAAATCTTGTTACTTGTGCTAAGTGCTTTAGATCCTCAATCAAATTATATTGTGGTGAAGGCTTGTTTTGCCTTTCCAATCGTCGCATGATAACAGTTGAAAATAGATATATGAAGTTGGACATCATGTATCTTTTTCATTCAGCAAAATTGCAGATTATAATTATATCATGCATTCGAACAGAAACGCAATGGATTATTATTATTATTCCTTCAGGTTCCGAGTGGAACACAGGGTTTCAACAACACATCTCCACTTTGTTCCATTTTATGCCGTCCTTTTCAGTTAGGTCCACAGTTGCCCATAATCTTTCATCTTCTCGTCACATGATCTCCTCTGTGTCACCCTGGGAGGACCCACCCGTCGCTTCCCATTGGGCCTAATGCTCGATGTTATTCGACGGCCTCCTCAACGTATGCCCGATCAGTCCATCTCCATTTTCTCCTACATATTTATCGAGCGATCAGCTCTTGCTTGGTTTGTTGCCAGTTTCTTGTTACTTATTCTTTCTGGCCAGCCGTTCGATATTCCATGTGGAGCCAACGAAGGCAGCTGTTGATGAAAGTCTGAAACCTGTTGGAAATCTTTTTCGTGACGCGCTGACAAAGTTTCTGACCCATATAGTAGGAGCAACTTGACATTGGTGTTGTGAATTCGAATCTTCTTCTTTATGCTGGCTGATTGCAGATTTCCAAACTGGTTTCAGGTTGATGAAGGCGTTTCTTGACTTTCCGATTGTGACTTACCTCTTCATCCGTTCCGACTGCATGTGGTTGAAAGGATGCTTCCTAGATGAGTGAAGGCAGAAACCTTTGTCAAATCTCCCTGGTTGACGGTGATTGGCGCATGTTGTTTTTGTTGGTTATTTTCATCACCTCCGTCTTCTCTATGTTTACCTGTAGTTCTGTCTTCTCTGCCTGCCACTTGAGCCAGTTTGTTGGTTTTCACCTGCAAGTCCTCGAGTTTGTGTGACATTAGAAATATGTCATCTGCGAAATCCAGATCTTCTAGAGTCTTCTTATCGGTCCAGCGTATTCATGTTTCCTCTCTCCCAATGCACAGTCTGACGCATAATCCAGTCCACCACAATTAAGAATATTATCAGTGATAATAGGCAGCCAGCTTGTCTTACTCCCGAATGCACTTCGAACGCCTCGCTGAGTTTTCCGTTGTAGATCGGCTCATACGTACCAATGTCATACAGCCACCGAATGAGGTTGATAATGAATTGAGTCATGTCACTGTGTTGAATTAGTTTCCAAATTACTTCTCGGTCAACGCTGTCTGGTGAAGGCCTTTTCGAAGTCAATGAAGTTGAGGTGGAGTAAGAGCTGACTGACATTCTATGTTTTGTTCTATGAAGACGATGCGCATAGTTGCAATTTGATCAGCACATGATTTGCCTTTCGTGAATCCAGCTTGTTCCTGTCGGTGGGGTGTAGTTCTGTTCCCAGTGCATATTTTATTCTCTCCAGAGTGATGCGACTTAGTATTTCACTTGGCGTGAACAAGAGTTAGTTGGTGTTTATAATGTTGGACTATTTATCAAAGAATATTTTCATAGAATGAACTATATTCAAACCGATACCTGTGACAAAAAGAGAAGACAAAAGGTGCAGTAAACTTTAGCCGTTATATTTTTGGTGTCATTATAGATTTGCTCACTTATGATGAAATTATAGAGTAAGCAACCTTACAGCACTTGGTGGATCTCATTCATGAGATAAGCTATTGGAAATAATGAGAGAAAAGTGTTTTAAAATTCTAAAGGCTGACAATTTGGCACCTCGGATACAGACAGAAGCTATGCAATACCGTTTACATCAGAATAGCACATTTAATCACCTGTCCCTCTTCCTTGGACAGTTTAGACCAGATTTTAAGATTTCTCTCAAGAATGAGTCAACAAGTGGAACGAGTGAAATAATACTGGGGACAGTTCAAAGTGAGAATAGTTATGGTAACAATCGAAGTAATAAAGGAAGAGTATACAAATTGAATAAACAAAACGAAAAAAAGTTGGTAGAGCCAAAATATGACCAGGGATTACCATACTTTAGCATAGAGGGATTAAGACCATGAAAGTTGGAGGGATTGAACGAACTTTTTATGTACACAGAGATCTGGCTTTTCTGTTTCAAAACACAGATGAGTCGGGTACATAGTGATTCGTACAAATTACTTTTCGTTTTGTAGACGGCTTCAAAGGTGGGAGCTGTAGAGATAGGGTGATCATTATTGACCAGATGTTCAATGATCGCGCTTCTTATTGTTCCACTTCCACCTCTTCGTAACCATGCAGGATAGTGTTTTCGCACCCACTTGGACAAAACTCGAATCGAAAGAACGATATACCTCGCTCCACACAAGCAGGTGAATCGATAAACGCACGTAGAGTTGGTCAACTGCGAGATTTGGTCCTGCAGGTTACCGAACAGTAATGGTCGACTACAAAAGGCTATTTTCAATAATGCAGCAGGGAATTTCTTTTTCGGAGACTGTGAGATCCTTCTTTTAGTGATATCGGTAGTTAAATCACCCTTGAATTCCAAGCTCATGTACAGCATTTTCTTGGTTACGGACGTTAATTCACATTTCATAGATTTTGACTGT